TACCCTCAACAAAGTCTATAACATATCATTATATTATACATTTAAAAAAAAAAATACAAAATTTCCCAAAATTTCCATAAATATATGTAAGTTGTGCAGCTTAGAAAATACAATTTTTCAACACACATACATTGTGTTATAGGTATAATCCGTGTCGGCTATCAACCCACACGAGTAATATGGTGCAGAAGTGAAATTCAGCACAAGTCAAAAAACAACATTTACTCGACCGGGAATCCGGATTCGGATACACCACGTTCGCCTAAAGCAATACACGACCGTATTCACGATCACTGTCGCACTTTACGACGGGAAAAACGTTAAACTTCGTTTTTAGATTTTAGATTTTTTTTCGTCATTTAAATGTTTAGTCTAGGGCTATTGTAGTGTAGGTACTGCTCGGACACAAAACTGCAGTCGGCATATATAGTGTAGAAAGTATTGGCCGTGCCGTTTCGCCAGTTGTATTTTTATTACAGAAGCATATAACACACACGCGGTATGTGTGTCAGCCATGGATGCAGAGAAAGTGCCGACGTTGTTTGAATGAATAGCCGTGCATGTGCCTGTGTGCGTATGTGTGCGGCCGTGTACGTGTGCGCATGCGCATGCAATATGCATGGCGCGTGTGTGAGTTAAGCAGAACTTCTGTAATGGATCGTCGATCTTCTTCCCCATTATATTCCGATATGAAGACATCGCTTTTGGAGACCGGTTCGCTATAATGTGATGCGAGACAATATAATATATTGTATCGTGATCGCTAATAACAATATTATCTGCAATATGTACTACAGAAATTGGATAGAAGAACAATTTTCTTCGACGACCTTGAATGGTATCAAGAGCGAAAGTAGTATTTTCCCAAAACGGCCAAAACCTAATCGTCTTATTGTTGCTCGATAATTGTTAAAGAAAGTATACAGCATTATTATTATTATCCTTGCTCAAAATATTATCATCGATTCGGAGAATAATTTTTATAACGGTCCCCTGCTGGTTGTTCGTTTAAGTCTCCGCGAAACGTGTTCAAGTTTAGTAAATGAAAACACGCTTATACATTCTTCTGATACGTGTTCAATTGAAAGACAACTAAAAACATTAGATGAAATGATTGATTAACGAGTCGCTACTCTACTAACTTAATCGAATCTCAATTCAGTGTGGGCGATTGATGACTTAATATGTAGAACATCGTGTCGATACACAACTATAAGTGTATTTATTGTGTATTGAATTATAACATTGGGTTAGCCGTGTGTTTTCCGATTGGATTGATGTAGGTACTTTCTACATATTTAATCATAAAACATTACGTATGTGGGTGGTCATATATGTAAAAAATCAATCAAATCAAACGACGAAAATCTACGCCACAAAGATAAAATAAGAAATAGTGCATACCACATGCAGTTTCTATAGACAAAGATAAATAACATGGAACATCATATTATATAATATAGATACCTATAATTGTAAATTGCAACGTATTATTATTACCGGGTGGTGTGGTTATATTAATGCGGTAGCGTTATTTCGTTAAATAAAATATACCTATGTTATTATAAATATGTTGTATTATGTAGGTACCTATATACTACACATTAATTTTATATTTTTATATGAATTATACACTGCTCGATGATTTTTTACTTTTTTGAAATGGGTATGTCTTGAGTGTTTAAAAACTGATCAAAATTGATTTATTAATAATAATTTTTTTTTATTTCTAACCAACAAGAGCAGTATTAGGCGTGTATGGGCGGGCACCTCTTCAATCCGGAAGCATAAAAACATTTCAAATATCACACACTATTCGATGTCAATGGGTAATTGCTAATATTACCATTTTGCCCTGCACCCTTAAAAAAAATCCGAGACGATGCCACCGAGTTGATGCGAATTTGGGATGAAAGCCGAATAATTCATACATTGGTGTACTAAAATAATATGGTAATAATACGTATAAACCTGAAGCAGTCGTTAACTGTTATCACTCGCTCGCGGATGGTCCGGCTGTCGCTTTCTATAAAATAATATAATAATATACGCCAATTATAGTGGCCCGCAGATTCCGATATACATATTATCATAAAAATAATAATATATTGAATACATTACTATGCACACGTTGAACGTCTGTACATATATCATGACTATAATATCGAATAGGTGCGGTATATGTGTGCCAAATTTCACACCTTTGCGACTCTTGTCTCGTACGCGTGCGCGTCGCGTCTGCGCCGTGGCAGTTTGCTGACGCGTAGTACCTCATGCAATTTATATCTATTGGCTATATTTAGTTATTACGACTGCTGTTGGCGAATGGCTGCAGATGAAGCGGCGGACTCGTATTAACCTAATTTTTTTTCTTAAGACGCTCGTCGGATAAGGGGAAACTGGTCGCTGCGTACGCCGGAGAACTGGTTTGCATGCGCGGGCCCCTAATCTCGCTGTTGTGTGTATCATATCCGCTGTTGGGCCCGACCGTGACCCACTCGCCGGACGAAAGTTGCACCCGCCTTGGTACGGCGCGGCGGTGCGAGGTGCACAAAGTGCGTGCGCAAAGTGCGTGTGCATAGTGTACGTGTGCTTGATCGGGGGGGGGGGGGGGGGGTGCCGTGAGCGGGATGACGCGAGACCTTGAAGAGGACCAATGAAAATATACGCGTTTTCGTTATCGTACACAGTGTTATTATGTCTGATCTCTTCCTCGGAGTCGGTATTATATTTTAAATAAAAACGACAGTCGAAAAACCCCAATCCAATGGAGCATTAATTGTTTTTATTTTTAATGAATCCGTATTATTTTTTTATCAGTTAAACAGTTGTACACCTATTTCAAAACGACGTAGACGCATAAATTATTTTTATGTAATATGACACTAAGTAAATTATATACAGAATGCGAGTGTAGAGATTAGAGAGACATAGCCTCCGGGCGATATGGATTGAACACTACGCATTATTATTCGAAGACTTTAATCAGATTCAGCAATGTCCACAAATATTTAATATCCTGATTGCAGCAGATTGGACTAATTATTTCTTTGAGAAATGTGATTATTCGAATTCACTTTTCGTCGTCTTCGAAGTTTTTGATATTTACATAATTGATAATAATGTATTACCATATTTTTGAAGTAATAATCAGACAATATTATAAAAAAAACTATTATTTAAATTAATTAGAATTCTTAACGGGTCTTATTATTTTATTTTAATCGTTTTACAGATATTTTAAATACTTAAAAATCCATTTAACCTATCTACTGTCACGACGACAATACACATAATTTCGTTATCCGTGAAAAATTGTACGTGGTGTGAAAACTAATTAGTAGGTGATTGATAATGTAAACAACAAATTATTAAGTTAATCGTTTCTATAGAGTATTGAAATTATTTATTATTCATTCATTTCTAATTAATAATCACTGAAAACGACAAATCGAATTGCATTAAATACCTAGTTTTTTGTCGTGTTTCAGGGGGATGTAAATGTCACCAAATAATATTTTAGAAAATTTTTAGAAATAACTTATTATTTTAAGCCTGTTACAATTTGGCGGGTGTTACGCTGTTTTACATCATTTGTTTGGTTAACTTTAATATCATATCGACATCGGCCATTGACTACATTCGTGGACTATAATTATAGACACAATAATGATATTACATTGTATTAAAAAAACATTGCCGTCTTACATATTATACGAATTATAGCGCTATACTCTGCTAGTTACAAGATGTCGCGCAGAGGACAAAACCGCCAAGGTCGTTCCGACGTATTTTGGCCAATGCTTGCCGCGGTTCAGTGACTCTGAAAGCAAATTTCTACCAAACCTATATACACTGCGCATATTGTGTACAACGGTTTATTAAATCGCAGTGCATTTACAATTTAGTTGAATACGATTACCTACTCAATATCATTTGGAAGATTGGAAATATTGATTCTGAAACCGATTCCGGCACGTGCGGTCGCTATATTATAATCGTATCGAACGAGACTTATTTGTTCGAAACCGACTTAAATGTGCGAAACGAAATAGAAACGGAGAAGATGTTTTGCGTATTCAACAATAATATCATACAGTGCGATTGTTTCGGGCGCGTTTATAATAATAATAGTATCGTAGCAGTCGTTTTGAACGTATTTCTAAACGGCTGACCTTGGGCGACAGTCCTTTCTCTACGGAATGTCCGTTTATTCCGACGAAGAAAGTACCCATATTTTATGTGCGCCTATAACACCCGTAATTATTATTATTAAACTATGCGAACACGCGCCGGCCGGATGATCTTCGTCACGGGCCGGTACTCTTTGACAGTAACCGGAGGGGTGAATAAATTTTGGACTTTCTTGGCGTTTGCCTAACGCACGAAAAAAGTCTTTTGTTCCGTCGTAATATCCCCATTGTGCGCGTCTGCCCACAGTTTGTGTTTGTTTGCAGTATTGTCGTTTTACTTTCAATTGAAGGACGGCGAAAAGAAAAGAATAGTGTAACAACCTTAACAACAAAATAATCGTTTTTTTTTTACCGCGCGCCGTTAGACATATTACCACCCATCGTTTGTACATTTTAATAATGTTGACGTTTAATAAGCCGAAGGCGAGCTTGTGCGTGCACACGGGACAAAAACTATATACCGTATAGAGATATTTGATGCAGAGGCGGGAAGTTATATACTATGTGCAATTAGGTGTTATTATAATATTATGTTGTTATGTCATAGGTCATATGGAGCCGTTTGAAAATCGTATCGCACTATAATATTCTCTATTTTACTGTACATAGTTGTCGAATTAAGTATTATTATTATTATTACGGTCGACGGAGCAAATACACAGGAGCTCCAGAAAGACGAAATCGGCACGTGTATTACGATAATATACGCCATGGTCGAGGAAGTGTAGTTTGTCTCGAGTCTTCGAATAAAAAACCCTGCATTTAGACAATAATAATAATAATGAAAATGATTTGTTATTTACTCACCCAATTTTACGACCATGTATGTGTTTAACTGTATCCACGTGGACTGTCACTACGAAAAAAACCGGATGCGCGTTGTGTATATGGACGTTTATATTGCGTCGAGTATAATTTTTTTCAACGATTTCGTTAAGTTTATCTTATATGCTTTGCACCGCGTGGACACTGTCGCGAACGAGTGTAAAATTGTACTGTCCGATGTTCGCGCTGAAGACACTAGTATAATACTGACCCAGTGTCAATCGGCCGGCGCGATACAAGTCTAGTCGGCGACGACCGACTTTCTCTTCGGTCCCGCTTCCGTTCTCCCGCCCTCCCTCTCCGTCTTCCGGTCCGGCGATCGTCCTCCGCGCCGCGGAGTCCCCACCGCGTGTCCGAAACTCCCCCCCCCCCGGAACCTCCACCGACACCACCACCACCAGCACCTGCACCCGGTGTGTAGCGCTCAGGATGATGAACGCACCTGGAGCGGCAGCTGCTGTCACGAAACTTTCTACCGTCACCTTGAAAGGGAGAACCGGCGGCGGCGCCGTGTCGTGGGCGGTGCAGGCCCGGGCGGATGTACGCGCGCTGCTCGCTGGCATCACGTAACACGCGAGCGCGCGCGCGCGGACACGGAGCTGTACCCCCCCGCCGGCGCCGCGCGGACGGGGTGGAGGCGCGAAGGACGCGGCCGCGGCGGAGGAGACGCTCTGTCCGGGTTCCTTGTACGCTGATATTACCGTCGCGGGAGACTACGTCGTTGCGCAACCCGCGGCCCCGTAAAACCCGGAATAATATTTCGTGTACTCGCGAGACCTATGGCGACGGAGCTCGGACACTGCAGAGCACAGTCGTATTATTATTATTATTGTTGTTGTTATTTTAAATTACATAAAAACCTATTGCGCACATATTATGATAATAACGATATGTACGTTCTATACGTTTTTCTATATCACGATTTTTCTAATAAGTTTGCTTTTGTTTTTCACTACCACAGTCGTGTACTTGCGGGGCGCACTGCAGTTTGTTGTGACCGACTACGACCAGCGACATCCGCGTTCGGGACTCGGATACATGAGTCATGACTCACTATTATTATGTCATAAAATATACGATGATAACATCGTCGTCATATCGCTGCTGGAGTTAAAATATTATATGCGATGCCAGCGATCGATTAGTCACGTGATATCGGTTATATCATTATTATGATACATACGCGCGTTTGGCCACCAATCGTTATATCATACGATGTTATATAATTGCTTTTTATTAATTATTAGGTGATATGTGCGTCATAACCCGAATCCACAGACATAATCAAACTCTGCTCTTCACCTAATTCAAAATGTCTGAATGGCACTGACCACTCAAATGTTCGAATATTGCATTTGATCTGACCATTCCGGGAACTTAAGAAAATTAATTTTTGTTTTCACAATATTACGCGTTTGTCGATCAATTTAGTACCTGCCTACAATTTAGAAATAAATGTAAAATATATGAGGAGACCTCCTATTTATTTATATTCGTAAATAAATATATTTTATGGGATGATCGGACTAAGTGCATACGACCAATACATTTTTCTGTCCCGATGATGCAATTTTCGACAAAAATAGTGCAATTTTACCCTACCCAAATCCACCACCCCAACTGAGTATCGGTTCAACATTCAAAACTTTAAAGTTCTATTTTTTATGATGGCCTAAAATGTAAATTACAAAATATGTGTCTGCAACTACTACCGATAAAAGAAATGCACTAAACGTTTATTATAATAGCCTATAGGTAACCCCATTAATAAAATAATCGCTAACATTTCCAGGAATTAATGATAATATTTTGAATTAAGACAACATAAATTATTTTCATCAATAACTGGTTTTGTAGATTTCACTATATTTTTGCACTATTTTGTAGTTTTTCCTTACACTTACTAGACATTACTGAGAAAATTAGAAAAATGACCTCTTTATAATATCAAATAGTTGTATAAAAAATTGATCTATTGAAGAACTTCTAGAAAAAATTAATAGTGTACAAAAAGAAAAACCAAATCATCGTAACATCATTGCATTACTCGCTTCTCTCAAAATGTAATTGTAATATCTTCTTAGAATATTTTTTAATGTCATCATTTTATTTTATTAAAATAATACAATGTATTTACCTACACCTACACCTCCTATGTATATATATATTATATATGTATCAATTAAAAACATCTCAGTTATTTACTGCGTGCCTTATGTATAATGCTAGTCTATACAATTTTCAATTAGCAGGTCTAATTGCTCATTAAAAAAAAATTATATATAATACATACATACATAATTTTGTCCGTTATTACTTTATTAGATGCACTAATGCAAGTCAATATAATAATATAATATGAATTTAATGAAATATGTACTTAGAGTACTCGTTTTTTATGACTACGCGACTACGATCAAACATGTCAAACTCAAATTATTATCCAATTGGCCAAAAATATTGAATAGAATACTTTGCGGGCTTCATACAATTAAAAAAAAAAAAACCATTTTATAATTGTATTCATTATAAGACCATGTTGGATATATATTATATATATTATAATATGTACATTGTACATTGTATACGAAATATTAGGATTTAGGACATTTTGGCGTGGCCGTTTTGGCGCGGCCGTTTGGCGGGAAGCTGTTTTGGCGCGAAGCCATTTTGACGTAGTTAACTTAGTTTTTATTTTATTAAAATTACTATTTATTTAATTTAAAAAAACAGAAAAATTTAAAAAACATTATTATTTTAAAGAAATAGTATGTGCTACACCTCTTAAATATGTTAAAATGTCTCGTGTATCTGATTTTTATACTATTTTTAGTAGTCTTTTGTCCGTATCAATTCATATTTTTTGAGCTTTTTAGGAGGACTTCTTCCTGATTCCAATTGAAATAAATATGTATCCTTTCCAGCTTGAATCTTCCTTAAGCAAGTTATAAATGACGATAATGTAGGATGGACCATTCCCATTTCAACATTTATTCTTCGGTTGGCAGCCTCTGAATGATTATACTTATATATTACACTGTACGACAATGACGAAGGTTACTGAACAATAGACATATCGCCATAAACGCAGATAATTGAGCTTTAAAATACGCTTTGATTGGTTTACTGGTTAATACATTTATTTTAAAATAATCTGAAACATTTACGCCAAAACGGTTTCACGGCTAAACGGCTTCGCCAAAATGTCCCGTTCCCGAAATATTATGTACCTCTCTTTATCGTAGTTGAAAGACACAAAGTCAAAATTGGGTTTATATATTTTTACACGCTTGTCCAATGATCTCGAAGGCTGCTGTCATAGGTATATAGCGTTAATCAATTTAAATGGTTTTCGTGATAATTTTTTAACGAAAGTGCGGACGTTTTACCAATAGCCCAATGATCTTTGAGTTTTTGACTTAAACATAATATTTTCGAATAAAACACACAATTCGCTGTCCAAATTACAATTTTAATACGCACGTCAAATGAATATAACCGATTTAAGATTTAGATTACGATACTCATCGTGTGTCTTCATTCTTGTGAAGTGCGTCTGTGTTAAAATATTATGTTCGTAGCGCATGACCGTATCACAGCTTTGCTTCACTGTGTCACGAATTATTAACGTTTTCCCACGTTAGTATAAACAATACCTTGTCATTATTACAATTATTTAAAATATAGAACCGACTAAATATAATTGTCAGTTACTTTGAATAGATTTCAAAATTTCACAATGTGTAAGACGAACAAATATGATTTATAAAATAGCATGCACCTACATTGCATATATTATATTGCACATATATGTGTATCATATATAGATCATTATGTGTATTATTAAATTGATATTATAGTGTACATTTAGAAATTAATAACAATTTCGCGGTTTAATAATGTCAAAATCTTGTAGACACAAAAAATATAATACACACCAAGGCCGAAGAGTTTCATTCATGTCCAGGAAATAATAATTTTACGATGATGTACAGGCGTTAACGTGGTATAATGTACATTATACTCTGTCAACAATACACTTATAATGTCGGGTAATGACGTTTTTTAACGCACATACGACAATAGCAAAAACTGAGTATAAAGTTAACCATATATTATAATATATACATGCAGTAGACACATACATATATATTATATTTATGGTATAATGAACATATTTTCACGATGTGAGTACGATGTTCGTTAAGTAAATTCATTTGAAAAACCCGCCATCTCGTCACCTCATTCACTAATTTTGCTTATTCTTGCTTAATCTTACAATTTCTTCCTATGGTATTTTTAATATTTATAGAACAAGTCTTCCGTTGTATCACTCTTTCTAATTTCTGGTGATGACGATTACAAATATTAGTAATACCAAAGTACCTTCCAAAGTACCAAACCCTGCAACAATAATTTGGTGACCTAAACATAATGACACCCCCCTGATCAATTTTTGAACTCTATAAACGGTTCCATAAATAACTATATATTAGTATTGAATTATTCAAATCCTCTCATCAGTATATATTATCAATAAGTTATCCACCGTAGACCTAGTGCCTATGCCCTATAGCCGATACATCCAGCTGGTTCGTGTGGAATCGACCATAAAATATATTGTGACTTTCGCCAATGGCTAATGATTGTAACCGAAGACATTTGAATAAAGATAACTTATACTTGTAGAGTATGCTTCGCCGAGCTGTGTATAAATCGAGCAAAGTTCCTATTTATTTGCTTGTAGTCGTCGAATAGTATTTGAGTGTACGCAACATTCATATAGAATATTATTACGTACTTATTAATTCACACTGCGAGTATACATCATCTGAATATTCGCAATCTAATCGTGCCGATATTATTATCATAACGGTTTATTCGAATGAAGTCAGCTATAAATTATGATCATTATTGAATGTAAATGCACCGCAGCAACACCTAGTTTTTTTTTTTTTTTGTTGATTTTTTTGTGCCGTACCTACACGCGTATTGTTTGAATCGGACAAGTGCTTTCGGGAAGAGACGTGCCCTTTCGCATATTATGAATAAATACATTCTTTCGACCCGACAGCGACAATGACGACGGTACGACCTATAATTAGTATTTTAAATTTTAGCTTGTACCACTAATGGTTAATGTAAATGATAATATTGATACAGCCAATGTAATCTGGCAATACATTTTTTAATTTTTTGCTCCGAAGTCTGAACGTCCTATACGT